TTAAGAATGTAGACAACTTTCTGTACAAACTGCGCAGTCGATACAACAATGTACGTATCCTGAAAGAGAGAACGGCTATGGTCCTGTTTAGTTTTATTTGTCAATTTGTTGTCTGCCGTACGAGCGCTCACATGTGTGAAAATTTAAAAGATGAAATCTTAAACCTTTTAATTTATTAATAAAAGGACATCATTTGCTCGCAAAACTACGTGTTACGATCTAAATCATAGCAAAAATTTTAAATTCAATGTTACCAAGGCTAGGACTACTCGAGCTCCCACGGTTGACAAAACAGGTCGCATTCACACTTTATACGTTCATTTTAGTTAAGAGATGACGTTAACGGAGGCCTTGCTCTTTTAAGTGGCTATAAATTTTATTCTTATAGTAAGCGAAATTTCTTCCAAAGTTGCTCGACGAACTCACGCTTAATTAGTTTTTTCTTTCTTCCGTATTTCTAAGAATTTAAAGAGCTCTATAAGTAGACGATAAAGCGACGGCTAGAAGAATGGTATTCAAGATTTTCTCGAGGATATCTAACGAGAATATATACATCGCACACAACATCTGATGCCTGAGGCACATTTTGGGTACACATTTCCAATCCTTACTTATGTGTAGAAAAACTGCGTCGTTATATAAACCTTATCGATCCATTGCTTTCCTCCTCTTTTATGTATTAATGGAATACCAAACATCACATTATCGAATTACTTTCAGGCTGCTTTATAATCAACAAATTCCAAAGATCAATTACACTGAAATGCTGTCTTGCAAACTTGCAGCCACGTTCTAAACGACAGCAGAGAGACGTGATAAGTCACGAGGCATATTTTGTTTGCCGTGACTTCACGACAATCTGGTTTTATAAAAAAGCTTAATACTGAAGAGTGTTAAGAGTATTGGTACAAACAGCGGGAAAAAGTACGACGAAAAACCCATTTTCCCCTGTGACCTATGATTAGTAACAATGCCGTAAAACGGCTGTAAGTTAATTACCAGCACACCGTTGGAAATATTGATATGCCTGTGCTCTGCCGTTTCGTTCTTTTAACGGTAGACATCATAGGTACCGATTTCTTGAAGAATCGTAAAACAGAGAGCCACAATAACGATAGATTCCTGAATTTGGAAGAGAGCAGGTGTGAAGGGTGTAAAGCACGTAAAAGGAAGGAGTTCCAGTTGTAATGATTTCTATTAATACATAAATAACTGTAAATAGATATATTAATTTTAGTTTGAAATCAAATCTAAACTATTATTTTCTCTTTTTCCTATCGTAAATTATAAATTTTCTTAACGATTAACCAGCCATAAGCCCCATACCTTTTGTCCTTTTGTCAGGTTTTGTAAATGCATTAATAGTTACCATCCTTTTAAAGCATTGTTTTGCCAATTGAAAATTAACAAGAGCAACAACTACAACGTAACGGAGTCACATATCAAATACGAATGTCATCTAATAAAAAAAAAGCACAAACACATACACCGACTCGCATATATGCATGTCACTATAAGCATAGAGTATAAGGGTTTTACCAAAAAGTATCATTATACGATGTCTACTACCAGTATAGGGTTGATTGTAACGATAATAGTAGTAACATCGTCGCGATGATGATTCTTTAAATAGAACATACACACACACACACACACACAAACACACACACAGTAAAACGCTATAACAAAATCTAAATCCCAGTGATTTTGTTTGATACTTTAGCACAAAAATTAATTTCTGATTATGTATTTTTTTTTTTTTTTTCTATATGAATGTGCGCGTCTTTGTGAGCGCTTTGAGAAGCGAGAACCTTTCGTTATTCAAGGATGTGCGATGCATTAATATATCGAGGAAATAGGAAAAGGGGACACATATGTTGCAGGTTGAAACTGGTTGAGAAGAATGCAATCTATCTTCGCAACACACAAAGCCAGTCAGCCAGCCAGTCAGCCAGCCAGCCAGCCAGCCAGCCTTTCTAGTTCGTCTAACCTGATGCTCTGACAATTTGTCTGAGATCTGAAAATATGAAAAAAGTTTTTAGCTTTAAATACAATTAGTCGACCGGTAGCATTACCGGCGATGAGTATGAGTTGATGGTGGTGGTTGGGATGTTGGTACTGGAGTTACTGACTGGCTGATTGAATGACTGATTGACTGACTGAGTGACTGACTGAGCTAACATAATAATAGTGACGGTGGTGGTGGTTGCTTTTATTATTGTGAAAAGCTATTGTTGTAAAAATTATTATCTATTCATAAAAAATAATAACTTGTTATAGAGACAAACTAAAATTTACTATCTGTCGGTTTTGATGGCACCCCCCTTGTGTTGTTGTTATTATCTCGTGTACGGCTTAATGTACGCATCATGTACGCATCGATCTAATATAAGTTTCATACAGGATTACACATGTTATACATTACTTGCTCTCTCTTTATAAGTGAATGCATGCTTTGCGTGTGTGTGTGTGTATGTGTATGTGTGAAAAGAGCGCAGATAGAATGCGTATTTAATTATTTTCAAATTAGATTCGTGGATTGTTGGTTTTCAAAATTTTTGTTTAATTTTGTTTGTAGTGAAGTAAAAAGGCACGAAGGCAACGAAAAAGGAGGGAATCGAGGAACGAAGGAAGGGTCAGGGTTTACTACACCAACTGGGTTGTTTATTTATTTTTGTTTATTCCTTTGTTTGTTTATTTATTTATATTTTATATATGTTAAGGGCTTAAAAATGCACTTGAAGTGTTATGTTACTAAATACCAGTATGGGTGACGGGTTGGCTGCCTGCTTGCATGGCTGACTGGCTGACGCCTGGTTGGCTAAGCCTGGATGATCGTATTGTTTTTAGTTAGCTCATCTGGCCCATTAATCTCAAACTCTTGCGGTTGCAATGCTTAACTGAAATTGATGTAAATAACTAGACAAGCTTTACATATGGCACGATTTTTTCTCTTGCTATGGGTGTTGTCGTTGTCAGGTAATCGCTTGTTCGAGAATGGAAAAGCTTTTAAGAAATACACATAAACGCAACTGCTACAATCCATCTTAATATTCATTATGAGGATATACTGCTATTACTATTTATTAGAAATATTTCCAACAACGAATAATTTAAAAAGCTTTTTAATGACAACTATATTGTTTTGTTTTTTTTTTTAATCCTTGTATCGAACTATTTTTTCTTTCTATAGGTCAAGAACTTATTTTGTTTTTGTCTAAATAATTAAGTCAGTAAATAATAATCATAATAATAACAATAAGTATGGGAAACAAAATTATCGAAATGAATTGGGTATAAACTGTAGTGTAACGGCCAATAGGACAGATTTGATGGTGTTTGAAAAAAGGGGGGAGAAGATGTGATTGACAGAAGCACATGGCAAAGATTTTAAAATACGCTGACGTACCTGAAAGTATGCGCACAAAAAGACTTGTCGCAAACGTAAAAAAACCACTAATCATTCTTTCGAGCGCAGAACGGATGCCGGAAAAAAAAAGAAATGCAATGGGCGGCAGTTTTGAGTACGACAAGAATTATCAGAAAATTTATGGGTATTCAAAGAGCTATCTAAGGTTCGTGTAATTCTAGCAAAAGAAGTTTGCTAGATAAGAAAAAATAATAATGACAATAATTATCTTAATAATAATAATAAGAACAATGGAAAACGAGAAAGCTGATGGGCCAATTAACACTAACATACAGGACATGGTCACAATAAATTGGCAGAACGAAATGATCGATCTTATAGACATTGTAATCGTACTCAACGCGAAACGCACTAACAGCTTACTCCAATAACCTTTCCAAATATACGAAGCTGGCAAAAGAGATGAAAGTTATATACTATATAAAGAAATTTATTATAACTCTCATTGTGATGGCTTGTGCGCGAGTAATGCCAAATAGTTGCAAAATGAAAAAGCGTAAAGTACTCAAGAAAGCACAGTAGGTGGTTTAACTGTTTGCAGCGATCTTCACACGCAGGTTTCTGCAACACTGCGATATTGTAGATAAATCACGAAAGTTTAAAAAGAAAATTCCAAAACAGCTGACCCCAACCACCCGGTTTTACATTCTCGGCGACGGGGGAATTCACAGCCCTAAGCTGACCAATGCAAAGGCTCAATAATAATAATAATACTAATAATAGTAAAAATAATGAATGAACTGTTAATAATAACAATAATAATAATAATAATAATAATAATTAATAACAACAATAAATGAAAGTAAAAATTCGAACGAATAAAGTAAGTAATGAAAATATTAAGAGTGTTAAGAATAATAGTAATGATAATAAATAGAATAATAATAATAATGCATTAATAATGATAAATAAAATATGCGATAATTATAATAATAAATAAAAGCAAATAAAAGTCAATAACAATAAAAAATGATATAAGTGTAGATGATAATAAACAAAATAATTAAAAGCAACAATAACAATAATAATACAAATAATGTCAATAGCAATAATGATAATAATAATGTATGAATAGTGGATAAAAATAAAGTAAATAATAAGAAATAAGAAGAAGATAAGGGGCTACGCTGGTTCGGTGGAAGAATGTGCGGCTGTCAACTTGAAGACGCAGATTTGATTCCGCGTAACATAGATCCCCACTTCACCACTCACAATGGCTTTGAATAAGTTAAGAAAAAGCTTTTACTTATTGAAAGTTGAACTGACCAATGGACGGAACCCGCCCTCAAAAGAACTGAAATATTAATACATACTTTGAACGTACGATCCTTCATATCTTGGGATATAATTCCTTGGTCTATGAGCCTTTTGAAGCTCTTTGGAGAAAAATTTCACCCGGTGAACGGTGCCCGGGTAAATTTGCCACCAAACAAACCCAAGTTATGTAACGAAAATATATTTTTTTATTAAGATTTTCTACTTAGTTTTCATAATAATAATTATTATTAATTCTTTAGTGACATTTGTTATATGCTATTAAATATTTTATTGTTGTTGCTTATCTTTTAAGGCTATTATCTACGAGGGTCAAGATAAAAATCCAGAAATGTGCAGGGTTTTATTAACACATGAAGTAATGTGCAGGTAAGTAAACGCGAATTGCAAAAACACACCGCCGTCCGCACAGATATTTAGAAAAGCGAAAATGCCAGTATCTATATAAGACGAAATCGTGAACTATTTCGGAACACATTAAACTTAGAGGAGCTAAGATCGAGTCCATATAACGAATGCTTGAAGAGCTCATAGCCCAATCACTTCAGCATGGTCGTCACCATGGAAACACATTCTCAAGTTTTTGTAGTTGCAATGGAACGTGATTGTTTTTTATTTTAAACATTGGGGCTTATTGCCCAGTCCGATTTGGAGGCGAACTTTTTCGATTTCGAGTCATTATTAAAAGTATGTATAAGCCGTTTATCGAATGTTATTTACCGCTTTCGGATTTCACATCCTTTATGGCATTGTTCGCCAGATCGTTCGCTCGTATCTAATCCAAAAAACTTATATCCGACTGCAGCTGCAAGTTAATAAGTTAAGAAACAAAATTGAGAAAAAAAGGAATAAAGCTCTAGGCAAGCGATAGTATTTTTACCATTTACTAATAAATGCTAACTCGAAGCAATGTGAACAATGTGAAGTATACTAAAAACTATTGCTGCTAAAGCTCGGAGCTACCTCGACGATCACCCAAGTACCGATATATTAGGTTGGAAGGAAAGGGACAAGTTACAAGTTTACTATTACACACCAGATTAAAGTCGTATTTCAAGAATTACGACGAATGGCCCGATTATGAAAATCATATAAAGTCGAATGATCGTGTATGCAAACCTAATAAATAATTGTCTTTGAGAGGACAAGTTCCGTTTTTTGTCAGTTTTGTAAGACTTTTCCCGTTATTTTATACATAATAACATACAGAGCCGAAACATTTGTTAATCATGAAATTTCCCTCAGAAGAGAGATTAAACTATATATACAATTCGATCGAGCTTCGAATACACGTTCTCTCTCGGGCCGAATTACGTAATGAGTATGCAGGCCTTCCCGCCGAATGTTTGCGTCTGGATTACATTAAAAATTTTGTTCAATAGATTTGTTAGTTTCTTCAAAGTTTCCATTTATATTTTCATTATGTAGGATACCTGTGCATAAATGACACATGTATGTTGTCCTAATATTGTTTTTCGTATTAATGGATAATCACTTGTCAATATTTCTTTTAGTTCGCAAAAAAGTCAAACACATTATATTCAAGCAAGGCTGATCTCTAAATATTCTACATTACTCCGCCTAACACGATTCCTGATTTATTTTCAGACAAAATACCAAAAAATATAGCTCATAAGGTACGCTCTTCCTGAACACCCCTATCTGGGAGGAAGCCTAAACTTGATGTGCATATGATCCAAATTCAGTGAAATTAATTTGTTTGTTGAATTTGTGAAAATTACACTTTAGTGACGTATGAGGGCTTATTTTTGGGGGAGGCGTACATAAAGAAAACCTATGTGGTCTAAATTTGGTACAAGTGGTTTGCGTCTCAAATTACTATTGCTGACCAATTTTTATCACAAAGCCTTAAAAATTTGGTTTCTTTGCCCTATAAACCCTTACATTTCACGGAAATGCTTACATGAAGAGACTTTAACAAAATTGGTCCGCTAGATCCAAATTTTTTATATTAACTTGGAATGGTGTCATAGTATTAGTTAGCCATTTCTATCGAGAATGTGTGGAAGTGTGTGTGTGTGTGTGTTTTTTTTATATAGCGATACTTTCAAGACAAGACTTTACATGGTCCAAGCCAATCTTCTGCTTCTCCTTCTTCTGCGAGTCAGCATACCAATAACAAATGACTTGCTGAGCTGAGTGAGAAAGGCTCAATGTGAACACGAGGTTCTTCATTTGAACCTTAATAAAGTTGGCAGATAGTTTGACTGTAAATTTAAGTAGATCCAATCTATTTTCGACTGGCTCCGTTCTTCAAAATTGACACCTGCCAGTTGAACACAACGATGACAGGCACACATTTAAGGCAAAATTAATAGATCCGGTTGCATCCGTACAATGAAGTGGGCGGCTGTTTTATATTTGTTTGAATGGCACTTAAGACAGCCTGTGCCACAAGAGGTCTAGGGAGTAAAAATTAGTGCGGCTGATTTTTTTGTCAATCTCAGCTACGTGGAATGCTTTGTATTTAGGGTTTTGCCAAGTTTGGGGTATGCTCGTGCCAAAGCGTATTATTTTTTCAAAGACGGGGCAGATATCGTTGCAGTTTATTTCGAATGCATCTGCGATCTGAATTTAAATTGCATGTAGTTTTAAGATAACACGTGAAATTCTTATTCAACGTACTTCAGCGTTCTTCAGCGTTCGCCTACGAATCGGCTTCGTCGGTCTAATTCATTAGGCAAGAATTTGGGTGTTGGCGTTGAGAGACATCCACCCTCCACCAAGTCAACCACAGTTAAATTTCAAAACCATCACTTTTGTAATATTTTCTCATAGGTCGGCTTCAGGTTTTCTCGTCTGTCCCGTAATCAACTCTAGACGCATATCTAAAATTGTCTCTTTAGAGCGTTACACTTAATAAATTTATTATGAATTTGCAGTCAAAAGAATATCAATTCAAAATATCTTGATTGCGTACACACACATACACAGCCATGCATTGAATCTGTAGTCCATTATTAATTTCTTTTGTTGAAATCTTTGTTACTTTATTTGCCTAATAATGTTAAGGTAAAAGTAAGAGAAACGAACTTTACAATCTAGTACGCCTACCGGCGTACATATCATACATAGATTTGCATCCATTTCCCCAGACATTTAAGACTTTTTTGTATTTGATTTTTCCCTTTAACTGTGTAGTCGGTTTTTGGTTTCCTTTATTTAAATATTATTATCATGCATTTTTTTCTTTTGTATTTTTTTTTTTTTTTTTTTCTTAATTTACATAAAATAATACCTGGTTGAAGAGTATTTTTCGCACGTACCTTACGTCAGCCAGCATTTCTAGAATGTAACGGAGATATTATTTTCAAGTTTTATTTCATTGTTTGATTTTCGTAAATCTTCTACTCCAACGCAAAAAAAAAAAAGGGAGAAAAGGAAGTAAAAAGATTGTAGTCGGATCTTCAGACGAATGTCAGACACTCATCATTTAGTTGCGTAATCAACTCTTCTACATTTTTGAAACGAACTGCAAATTGGGATTTCCGTTGCCGTGTGATGTAAATTGTTAATGGAAGTAAATTAGGAAGATTGTTTTAGGTTTTCTAGCCTATTGGGACCGTATTAATGAGCGAGTCGCGTGAAATTTCAGAATCGTCTCCAGCCTTATGACTGGAAAGCAGGTCCGACGGGCAAACGTAGCTAAAACGACTCGACTGCACTCATTTCCTACGAACTCCAGTACGTAAACCTAAGCCTTGCAAACAACATCATAAAATCAGTGCACTGCCATCCTTAGGTGGAAGATATAAAAATAGCTATAACTTGTACCGGCACGGAGTTTAACGAATTTCGCCCTTAATCCTCCCCCTTATCTTGTATGTATGTATGTACGTATTAGTGTGGGTATGGGTGCACTGGTGTATGGGTATGTGTGTAAGGATACCCTTTTGATGTTCTCTCCTAAGAAAATGGCCTTGATTATGAAAAGCATCCCTTTTGGTATTTGCAAAAAAGAAAAAAGAAAAAAATAATTTTTGCCATTTGTGTCCAGGTTTCTGCTCACATTCAATTTGCTCTTTCAAGGCATATAAATGGCTGGAATTTTCAGTTTTAACTTTATATGCCGTAAAATGGAGTTTAGCTCATGGTTGTGTGGGGTGGATAGCTATTAACAGCCATCTTTTTTATGATAAACGTTCGTACGTGTTTTTGCTGATTAATGGTTTGCAAATAAAAAACTGGACTTGATTTTGATACTACGAAATGTAATAGATCTCCGAAACTCCATCTTACTAACTGAGAGAGTTAACTATCACTGATTATTCATATGAAATAAGTCCCATTAGGCATACAAGTCTTTCATATACCACAAAAAGGACACAAAATTTAAAGCTTTGAAAGACGAGCTCTCCCCCCAGGCCTACCCACTCAACTTTCTGTAGCCATCTGTACGAGAAATGACTCTAACTTGGTTAATATTAGTGACTTTCTGAATTAATGTACATCTGTCTGTGCCCTCATCTATTTGTCTGCCTTCCTGCTTTTCTGCTCTTCTAAGTGTGCGACTCTCTGTCCGTTCATCTGCCCATCTATATGTCCTTCTATCCGCCTGTTTGCCCGCCTGTTTGTTTGTCCGCTTCGGTCAATGGTCTCAATTTTTCAAAAAATTGAACGTAAGCCAATATCTTCAGGCCGAGACGTATTCCTATTGCCAACAGCATAAATTCGTCCAATTATAACTTTTTTACATGTCTTATTCGCTGCTAAAAAGATAAGGAATTATCCAAAGTCGCTCTGCTGTCTGCTTACGACATGTTTACGATATTAGATTTCTAGTAAACGGACAAACTTAACCGCTGATTAACTGCTATGTTAAAGAAGAGATATATTAAGTGGTAAGACGAATTGCTTAAACAGCCTTTGAAAATGCCAAGTAACTGTTTAGCTCTTCTTCTCCTCCTCCTTAATTTCGTTAAAGTAACAAACTTTAAAACGTCCGTCCTGTACCCGCCTTACGTACCAAATTTTTAAGAAAACCTGCATACGCTAATCATTTCTAAGCATTTTTGGGCAAAATGAACAGCACAGGAAGAGATGTTTACTTGTAATATCAATAAAGGGACTAGCAACAATCAAGATGGCAGTTAAGAATATGACTTAAGTGGAGCCTTAGTATGCTGTAAGCCTGCCTTGCAACGCATAAAGTAATAATGATGAGATTAACGCTCCCAGGCCTGTAAACGATCGTCTTTCCTCTTATTGCTTAAGCTTGATATTTTATGAATTGACAAATCCATCCATCCAAAGCCTTAAGCGAGATCATATTCTTTAATTATGGTTAGGCTTGTTAGCGCATTTTCTGCGTATTTCATGCACTAAAAGTTTAAAAGGATATTCAAGCTAATCGTACTGCAAGCCATTGTGCATCTTGGCCTCTTAAGCAAGTTTTGAAAATATTTTGTATTGAAACATTGAAAATAGTCGCGTGTCACTTGTTGCTTATAAATATATAAATTTTTATCTTATCAATGAATTTATTCTTTCATTCTGACATTTGGCATATTTATAGTGTCATCTAACTTATGTGTGATAGTATATGTGTGTATGATTTTATTCACATATATTGTAGTATTTCTTTAATAATAACATATCAATTTATTTATTGTTTCTTCGCTTTTATAACAGAATCTTTTGCTTACTCTCTCTTTACTCTTTTACAGTCGCTGTTGTGACAAAAAAAGTTGCGGTAACCGCAATGAAACACCATCGGATCCTGTCATTATTGATCGGTAAGTAAAGTATAATGTTTAATACTTATGTTATATCTTGCAAACGGGCAAACATGCATTCATGTATTTTCGTGGGTATGTCTAGATGGCTGACTTTTCCTTCGGAGCTTTATCCTTTAGAGTACTTTAAGATAGACATCAATATCGTGTAATGATGCTGTGGTATTGAAAATTGTGCCGCATACGATGAGTCCTTACATCTGCGACGTACGCACAGAAACATACATACACGTGCTTATGTGTATATATTTTCCCTTTCGATAGATGACATTTTAAGCAGCTTTTCATTATAATGAATAACGGTTACATGTAAAAAGATAGCTTTCAATATATCTACACTCAAACACACACATACAAAATATTATACAAAGGACTGTAAAATCATTCTCTGACTGTGTAGCATGAGATGATAATAATAATATTAATAATGATGACGATGTCGATGTCGTTCTCGCTGCCGTTCCCGTTGTTGTCGTCGTCGTTGTCGTCGTCATTGTCGACGTGTATGTGACGATGAGGTTCGTATAAAGTTAAAACGTTTTATGAGTTATGCTACTGTTGTTCCAACTTTTTATTATTCTTACTGTTTTTGTTGTTGTATTATGCTACACGCAGCATAAGGATAATAATGCATGACATTGTTATTGATGTTGTTGCCTTCATTTTAACTGTGTAGACTGAGTTGATTTATATTAAACATTATCAATTGCAACATAAAATAAAACCAACAATACCAACAGCAACAGCAACACCAACAGCAAAAGCAACAGCAACAGCAACAGCTACAATAACAACGAACAACAAAAACAACGACAAACTTAAATAACAATTGAGTGCATTATTAATATACTGACAATTGGCAGGAATTTAAAGAGCAAAAGATATTTTGCCTTTAAAATGCATTTAATGCATCAAAGGATATTTTTAATAAAAATTAAGAAAAAATCGCTTCATTCGACTCGAAGGAGCAAATTTATGATAATCGCCGTTTCTTAATAAATACAAATCTCTTATGTTTCTTCTTCACAGTCATAACATGGACTAATGAGTGAAAAAAGTTTTTTTTTTTTTGGGGTATAATTCGCTTAAGTTTAGGTAACTTTTTTTTCGGGGAGGTTTAACCTCCAATTCCTCTAGTTCATCTGTAGTGTGGCACACGAGAGGTTTCTAAGATCTTGAAGTAAGGTGGTAATCGATTTCCTGAATATTCCATCAATAAATCTTTCAATGTAGACATGGTTCGGTCCAATTCATTTTAAATGCATTTCGCCCTATCACAAGAATACATAGAGGAAGGGGTTGGAGAAAATAACATGAACCCGGAATATATGCACAATATTTATTTATTTATTAGTAAAGTGTTGGAGCACAATTTGCTTGCGGAATAGCTGGAACTCTTCACGGAATAGTTTCCAACGTAACATTCACCCATGCTTGTATCAAAGCAAAGTATCTCCTATTCTTCTCCTCTATGCGGAACCAGAGTTGTCAAGATACAACAATATGCTAGCAAAACCGCGACGGCAGCCATTTTCTCTCCTTTTTCGTTTTTCCCGCCACATGTAAATGATTGGGAGAAGTTGATTCGTTAACGGCTAAGTTGTTCGAAAGTTCTTTGCGAATCTGGGCGGGATTTTCATCCAATAAGCCTTGCAATTCATTGTCTTCGAAGGTTTCTTGGTCCTCCAGCCCATTGTTTGTCATTGATATCAAAATCACTATCTTTAAATGCGACAAGAGGGATATGACGGAGCAGCATCATCAGAAATCTCTAAAAGTGCTTGATGGGCTTCGGCAGCAGACTTATTTAAATCAAACAACAAAAGCAATGACTGTCGAAAATGTAATTCTGAGCGTTGCACGGTTAGCGCCTGTATAAAGTGAATTACTTAATAATACTAAATAGAAAACTGTTACTTTATCAAATTTAACCGTTACGTACATGAATATTTTGCATTACTTCATCACTTTCACCAATAGACATCGCTGATCAAAATACATACAATTTCCTTTAATATAATGCATAGTGTCCGTATTATTTTGTTCATTCCATGCGTAGTCAAGCAAATTTCATCGCAAATTGCAAGATATTCATTGAACTTAAAAATCATTGATTCATGTTATGACTTTTAATGAAGAAACATAAACTACTTTTATAATACACTTAGTTAAAGAGATGGCGAGTATATCGGATATATTTAGTGTCCATATCAAGAATAACTTTCTGGATCGATGTAAGGTTGCCTATCTATCTTGTGGCCTACGGGCCGCAATTTTTGTGATATTTTAATGAAATTCGGCAAATCTGTATGTTTTCTCGTGCAATATCGTAATTTTGAACACATGAATAATTGCAGATTGGTTGGGGGTATTGTATGGTAGTGGCTCACTGGAGTTACTCCTTTTCCCATGGGCAAGAAAAATGCCTAGTGAAAATGGTACAATTTTTTTCAAGTAAAAATTTTTGAACACAAATCCAATTGAGGTCAGGCAATCCAAAAATATTAGGCGTGTTCACCGGGAGTATCTTATTATAGAGCATTGCATAATTTCGAGGAATAAGCGTAGGTGGTTTCAAATTAAAAGGTTTACTGCGCAGTATTACCTTCTAAGCATATATTCAATCAATGCTATGGCTTTTGAAATTTACATTTTTCCTTTCTTCGGTAAAGGAGAAACAAGTCTACTCAATCAGTTAATTAATTGAATTAGGAAACTTTTTTACTGACTGATTGCAAATTCGTGATTACACGGAGAGTTAGATCTTGTCAACACTGCTATGTTGTTCGCTGTGCCATCTAATTACCATACCCTGAAACTTTTTTATAGCCCACAACAACAGTTCCACGGGCCAATCTTGTGACTACTAACAAAACTGTTTTGATGCTGACATGGACGCAGGAACTTAATAAAAACTTGTTAGAGATGTCGACGGCAAAGGTGACTTTCCCACTTGCTCCTATGCAAATTAAATTTAATGTTTGCTTGAACAATAGCAAATTATGTGAGATGATTAACCAACCATATATATAAGACAATAACAAAATACTAAAAATAAATTTTATGCCCACTTTATATCGCCCTCGCTAATGATTAATGAGAGTGAAACGTCATACTTAGTTACTTATGCAATTCTTTCCATATCTATCGGTAATCGTTTCTCCTTTAAATAGCGTAAAAAATTTCGAAAGTGTTGAACAAAGTAAAAGTGAACAAAAAAAAAAAAAAGGACAAAAAAAGAAAAGAAAAACAATAACGATAACATTTGTTTCATTTAAATATTGCCGTGTCGTGGACGGTTGATGCGAGTTTTCCACAGTTAAATTGCCAAAGCATGTTGTCAATTTTGTTTAACACGAACGAGCTCTCATCTGTGTATGTACTGTACATTACCGAAAAGTGTATTAATTATGTTAGTCTGTCGGTAAATCATAGACAAATAATTATAAGTTTACGGCCCGAATAGATGTTTAAATGACTAAAACATATTTTGTCGCAATTGCTGCTGAGTGAGATGCAATAGAATTTGCTAGTCTTCGACAGTCTCTCTGCTATAAGCAGCCTACGGGAAAGACGGTTGATCGGTTGAACGCAAAAGCTATTTTTAGCAAGGACGTCAAAGATTGTTGCTTACGTGAAAACCAATTAGGTTCCTTTGGACTTATTGCCGGGTCCTTTACGCACATCATCTGAATTAGTTCCACATCCCTTTAATAGGTTCATCATAATAATTATTTGTTTATCAAAAAAGAATGAGACTGACAGTTGAGGACTCAACCCGACACTGCATTCCACGCGAAATCTAAAAGGTACCACCCGTTGATACGTAGTGGCAAAAAAGGGGATAAATATATAAAGCAATATAAGAAATGAGCCGGATTCTACGTCCTAATGCAGACAGGAATAGATCCATATATCCCCAAAAAACTGTAAATGTAAGACAGAAACTATTCAGGACTGTGGCCTTCAATTTTATTATGGCAGCTAAACCATAAAGTACGAAAATAGTATTTACCCTGGCGCCTATTTGGAAGGTAGCGCTTCAGTCTCTAATTTCCATGCAAATAGTCTCTAATATTATCAATCACGTTAAAAGTTACATTGGCATGAAAACGAGGGAAATCTCTGAAGAAAATCGTCCTGACGTGTACAATTTTATTAGGAAAAATTTTAAAATGCTACGGAAGACCGAGAACAAATTTATGGAATTTACGATCAAGATATTTTAGCGAAATCAATACTATGTAGGCAGTTTGTTCATTTTCGTCCTCGCGAATCAGTTTTTCTCTAGAAACCCTAACAATTCAATCATGGTAATGTAATGGACTTACTACAAAAATGAAAAAAGGTCATGGCTAATAATGATCTCTTTGAAGAAAAATGATTTTAATAAATGAAATGATAAAAATTGTCTCAATATTTTTTCCCATTCACATTATGATGATACTGAGTAAGGGAATTGGTTTGACTTTCTAGAAAGTGACAATCACACTCTTTAAACAAATAGCACGGTAAGAAGAGTTTGCTATTTCTCCAAGAGAGAAAAAGTCAAGGAATTAATTAGTTCTAGCGCAGGTTACAAAGTACGGCGGTTGCCTTTATGCTGGCAATGATCCATGTCAGGTCTCAAGTATGTACAGTCACCGCTAGAGCCATACTTTGATGAAAAGTTTAAAGCCAGAATGATTCCGTATTTTTGCTTCAAATCTCTTCTTGGGTAACGGCAGTTGGTAGCACTTTCTACAAAGTGAGAATTAAGCTAACTTACTAACCACGAAACGCGTAGAAATACCTGTTTTCATAGTAAAAATATAGGATCGTAGGTGTCTTCTTACTGATCCTGAGGTAACTATAGAATTTACTGGCTTCTTATAGGCTCGCTTCGCAAGCAGATTTCCTTTCATCCCTTCCATAAAGAATAGTTCGTATATAAGTCGCGTACAACCTATAAGTTATCGTCTTTCTTGGTCAAAATGTATTCATAGTCACACGTAGTTACA